ATTCAATAATGCCATTGTTTTCAAATAATATTAACATTTTTTATAATAATATTAACTATTAATTTCTAGTCATTATATATCAACTTAGTATACATAGTTTTCTAAAATTTTACTCAAGAATATTTAATGCAAATAAAATATTTTTATTTTTATTTTGAGTATTTTATATATTTTTTTAAAAAGATTCGCATTCTTGTCAAAATTATCAATTCATTGTTTTTTATTAAATAAAACTTATATTTCAAATTATATAATTTTTCATTTAAAAAAATAATTTTGATAAAAACATACTTTTTGTAAAAAAAAAAAAATGAATAAGAGAAACGTATTGAAGAGATACATATATCCTTTATTTAACAAGACTTTGAGGACATTATATCCTTGATTTAATTATATTTTTATCTCATCCTGGATTTAATTAATTAATTACGTACCCCCTCGTCAAAGTGACATCACTCCACAGATTTATCATCATTCCTCTCCGTGTTTGGGACCCAAAGCGAAGGTCTCTCATTTGAAAACTCCACGAGCTCAAATCAAGCGTCTTTTTATCAATTGACAAAATTACTAAGTGCCCTTTGTCTTTTTTTATCTCTCTCTCTCTCTCTCCCCCCTCTCTCATCTTCGATCTCAAATTTGCAATCTTCACAATCCAGGTTTGTCTCTCTTTATTTATGTTCTTTGAATGTAATAAATTTGATGGGATATGCTACCGATTCATTAATGGGTTTGTGATTTTTCGGTTTTTGGAATCCATGTCTTGATCTTTTGAATTGGATTTTTGTGATTTTGGTTGCTGTTTAATAGCATTTTTTGAGGGATTCGTTTCATTTTGTTGTTTTTAGGTGCAGAAAATAGTGGGGTTATGCATAGCCATGAGGGTAAATTACACATTTTTGGGGTCAATTTATAGAGTATTTTTTTTATATCTGGATTGGGTTTTGTTTTTGAGTTTTAGACCAGCAAAGGGTCAATGATTGGATAGAAATTCTTTGTATGATGTATTATGAGAAACTTTGCTCAGTTCCGATGTTGGTTATGAGTATTATGACTGTATCAAATGGACTACTTGTTATTTCTAGTGATTGAGGAGTTGAGAGTGTGGAGAACCTAAATTAGTGGTGTAAAGTGTTTGTTTTTGGATGTGGAATTTGAGTTTGATATAAGTTTGCTTTTTGGTGCATTATTGTGCTGCATTTTTGGTGTTCTATGGTATATGCAACAATGTGATTGTTTCTGTGTGATTTTTTCTCAGGTTAAATCTGCCAGGCATTGAAATGCTCTAATTGAGTGCTGAGGCATATCTTCTTTGAATTGTGCCTTCCCTGCTGAAAATGTCATATGTAGAAATTCTGAAGGCAGTTTTCCCTTTACTGGAGGGTGCAGATCTGGCTTCATGCGTGGCAGTGTGTAAACAGTGGAGAGATATAGCGCAAGATGATTACTTTTGGAAATGTCTTTGTGCCAAGAGATGGCCTTCCATTTGCAAGAGGCCAAACCCTCCAACTGTCACATACTACAAGCTATACCTGACCTTTTATAAGCACCAGCGTCAACAAACCCTCCTTCCTCCAAGACTTTCCTTTGACAATTTGGAATTCTTCATCGACATCTGGACCGGAGATAAATTGATCTTCTCTGAGGTGGTCTCAGGCCCTGTTTTGCAAACTGGAATCAAAAGCCCACCTCCTGGAATTTGTGACAGGCTTAGATTTCATCTCGAAGGCCCCGATTATAAGATGATTGTACCTGTTGAACCGAGGTTCAAAGCCCCCTTAGGCGAGACTGTAAGCATTTCAGTGCTGGTGGGGCGGAAGGATAGCAATAAGGTTGCTTGCATTGTCAATAAATCTGTCTTTGATTATATCGACCGGACAGCCTATAGGGCCATGGCGTTTGATTATCTTGTTTTCTCACCAGCACATCCTTTTGTGCCAGGAATCCGGGCGTGGATTTCTTTGCTCTTCGTGGATGATAAAAATGACAGTGTTATTGATGTCTTTGGGATTGAAATAGATTTTTGTGATGCTGCAAAATCCAGGGATGAGGTTTTGTGGCTGCTTGACATACTTGACTGGAAGTGAAATCCATCAGCTGAGCAAAGAGAATAACTGATGAGCTCATCGAGAATGTTTGAACAAGTTCCTACAGTAGGAGTACGGTCGGATTTATAGCATTTCATTTAATGTTTAAATCTGTACATACTTTACATTGGTTGTCTGGCTTGTTTCAGTAAATATGAAATCTTTGTGATGAATTTCCAAATTTCTGTGGCTATATCTATTCACCCGCTTGGAATGGGATCGCCAGCACCGTTTCTTTAATGTATCTCAACTCGGTTTAAAACATTAAATAATCTATGAATAATATGGTGTTGTCATCCTTGACCTTGAGTTTTATTAATAGCTTTCCCCCTTTTATGGTTGAGTTGCTCTATCTTTTGTTTTACCAATTCTAGAAGCCATTGATACCACTTTTTTCAGCATAAGTTGAAAGAGAACGGTACAGCAGCTTATGCATTTTCAGTTGGCGAATTCTTCAGTCCTTCACATTATGTCCCATTGGCAAATCTATCTTGTTTATGGTGGTGAGTACCCAGGACCATAAATTCACTTGCATGATAAATTTCCTAACCTCAGCAAACTGCAGGCGGTAAAGTTGCAGAAAACTTGTCTGCAGAGCCTTGAATCTGGTATAATCGGATTACTGGTTTTAGTTGTAGCTTTTGCATTACGATCACATGAGCCAATCATTAAGTCAAGTAATGATTTTTTTTTATTTTAAGAAAGTGTTTTTCCAATGAAGTATTCTAGTTAATTACAAATTCTCTACCTTCACTTTTGGAATTTTCGATGAAGTCACAATAAATAATGGTGAGAAAAACATTTCCATGTTAGAGACTACAAACCTTCTCGAATGTGAAAGAAAATCATGCAATGTGATTGTTGTTTTAAGTATGTTCCTATGTGAAATAGGCTCCAATACAAAACTTGTATTTTTAATTTCATCTTCTTTGTTATTTTCCACAAGATTTTCAATAATTTGCACGTCATTCGCGCCTTCAAAGTTGCCTCAATTTATGCTAGGAAGCTTAAGGTCATGTTTGTTTTTTATAAAATAATTTTTAGAAAATTATTTTTTAAATTTTTTTGTATTTATTTATTTTTAAGAAAGTTGGTCAACGAAAAATACTTTTCAGTCAACAAAAAACACTTTCTGGTTAACGAAAAATACTTTTCAGTCAAAGAAAAATTTAGCTTGGTTTTCAAAAAAGTGTTTTTCTTTTTTGTTGTGTTTGTTTTTCACAAAGTGGTTTCCGAAAAATCATTTTCTAAATTTTCTTGTATTTGTTTGTCGTTAAGAAAGTTGGTTAATGGAAAACACTTTTCAATCAAAGAAAAAATTAGCTTCGTTTTCAGGAAAGTGTTTTCCTGAAAAATTTGGGAGGAAAACACTTTTTGGAAGTTGTGAAAAAATTAGAAATGTCATTAGTTGCTGATTATATCAAATTTGATCCTTAAACTTTTAATTGATATATATATTTTTTATTTTGAATAATTATTTTTTAATTTCATCTCTTAAAATTTAATTTTTATATTAACTTTGGTCCT